GAATGAGTGAGTCATTTAGTCCTTCATTCAACAGATTCGTTCAAACGGCTGATTCATTCAGAAACGAGGCAAGTGACTACTGTCTTTATGAATGGGTTACTGAATCATTGACTCACTTAATTCGTTCAAAAACGTGGATTCATTCAGTAACGAAACACCGCCGTGTGTTGCTGAGAGACACACAACGGTTCTGCTGTGGCTTTGATTGGAACTATTTTCATCCGCAAAATTTAGCAAAAATAGTCAATATTGTGTCTAAAATGTAAGTCACTTAATTTTAACTTCTTGTTTATTGTACTACTATTGTATAAAATCACATTGCAATCGTGTTGAAACCTTTTGGTCGTGCAATGTTGCGTACCTAAATTATATATTATAAATTTCTTTAGCCTAACTTTCTGTGTGTGCTGTTGCACTCATTTGTGTTGATTTCTGCATGAGTCTCTCTCACACACTCACTCAGGCTGCGCAGGCCTCATCTGACGACATAAATACATTATCAGTCGCCAGAAGTGTGACGTCAAAACAGACCGGCTCAGAATTGGCAGATTGGCCACCAGTCACCGGTCTGGGCCGGTCATGCGGAAAACCGGCTAATTCCGGTCCCTGGCCGGTCGATCGGTGCATCTCTACTACCTGCCATCCAATAATTACAATAAGCTCAGAAACAAAGTCTCCGTTTTCAAATTCTGTCAAAATTTGAACAATCATTTAAAATGTTGATGTAAAACAGCCTTGTGTATAATTTAATTCTTACATGGAACTCAAGTTTTTGAGCGTTATGAAATATATTTGATTAATTGAATTAATTGATATCATTGCCCTGCGTACTGATTTTGGGCTGCCGATTCCAGAAATAGTGCTTGTTTTGCTCGAGCATGTCACACTTTTTGCATTTTTGTAGCATTTTTGCTTTTGACAAACCATTTTTAAGGTGATGAAGTCTTGTATTCTCCTTTAATCAGCAGAAAAACTGCCACAAAGACACGACTCCTGTCTGCATCTGAACCAGATTACAACTATTTGTTCAATCCTCGGCCCATTTTCACATGTATTTCACATTATTTTATGCCTAATCCTGATTTCAAGGTAAAAATTATGGCCAGTGATAGAAGAAAATGCAAATATAGTCCAGATGTTTTCTGCTGCATCTGTGGGTGTTTTACTCTATCCAAATAGCAACAGAAAATACATTTATACATTTATATTTATGTTTTTGTAAAGTTCTTTGACATTATTGGAGTATTTTTCCACAGATTGTAAATTAATGCAGATTGCATTAAAGCTGATACATAAACACAAGTGGACAAATCTTCATTCATATTACGTAAAAATAAATAAATAAATAAAATAACTACATTGTGGAAAGTTCTTATTAATATTTTTGAACTAAGCATAATCAAATTAGTTCTTTTTTTTTTTTTTGTAAATCAGCAGTTTTTATTTATTTATTAATACTTAAACTTTATTTTCAGTCTGGTTTTCCTCTAAATCAGGGTTCCTACGGGGTTTGGAAAAGTATGGAATTTGATTCAAGTATTTTCCAGGTCTTGAAAAGTATGGAAAAAAAGAAAGCAGAGTATGGAAAAATATTTGTTTCGCTATTTCGTTTTTATAATAGAAAATGAAGAATTGAATGAAAATAAATTTAATGTACAAGCAGGGAGATTTCATGGCAGCTGTTTAGTGATTCTTTAGTGATTGTCAAATATGCACTTTTTGATTATGCAAAATGCAGGTTATAAGCATTTTGGGTTTCTTCTCACAATATTCTTAGCACCGTATTACATAGCCTCAAGGACCTTTGCAAAAATAAAAAAATATGCAGACTTTTATTTGCGCACGAGAAACCATTAAACTTAGCATATAGGACAATGCACACTGAGCCACCTATTGTGCCATCAGCCCATTTCACAGTGTGGTTTCTTAGCCTCTACAAAGAATGCGTTTAAGAGACCCTAAGGGCTTTTTATTTTAGGGACTCTGTGTGTTGTCATGAGAAAATCAATGAAAAAACCCAGAGAAAATAAAAAATATTTACAAATGACTGAACTATATACCAAATATAAAGCTGAAAATAATGCTCTATGGACCATTTATGTTAAATATTGTATGAAAATCTGTTGAGAGGTTTGGAAATGTGAGTTTTTTTTAGTTGAATTTTGAAATGGAAAATAATGGGTAGGAACCCTGTAAATGGAAACGTATATTTCGTGATTCAGTAAAAAATTCATTTCGGTGCATCACTGGCCACAAGCCTTAGGACCTTTGTGTGTGTAAGTGTATGTAGTTTAATGTGTGTGTGTGTGTGTGTGTGTAGTGTACTCTATCCAGGGTCAGAGTGTGCAGATGGTCAGTCCGTCCAGTGAATCTCACCAGCAGGTGGTAGCAGTGGGTCAGCCGCTCACCACACAGCCGCAGGGCACCGTAGTGGTAAATCACACACGTTTACCTTACTATCGAAAACATGACATAGATTTCTGTTGCTTTTATATGATGTTAATTATGGCAGAGCGCAACAGCACTTCAGACGACAAGAGTTTTAGTCTAATAAAGGCAAACAGACAGCTAATTATGACTACAGAGTAACTCTAGCTACTCTTAAGTTGTTGACTTCATTTCTAAATCAGTTTCAAGTGCAGCTGAATATTGTTCCAGGTTAATTGCGAGGGCTTTTCTTTCTCTCTCTGTCTGTGAATCAGCTGACAGCGAAGAACATTCAGTGCATGCGGACGCTGCTGAATTTGGCTCATTGTCACGGTGCTTATCTGGGAACCTCATGGCAGCTGGTTTTAGCCACACTACAGGTACAGGAACACGGTTCAATCACCACAACATACACACTTTATCTGTCTTTATCTTATCTTGTTCTGGACCGGGTTTTAGCAGTAATTGAACGATCAGAATCCAGAAAACTTGCATGATGTTTGTTCATTGTATAGGGATGTGATTTTATTCCATATTTATACAGATTTCCGTATTTTCCAACGTACAACCCATGTGAATTGCGAAATACAAACTGCAAAACATTGAGTATTTTTAAATTTATTTATGCATAATATGCATAAATGGGGAGGTTTTCCTTTTTTTGTCCTTTTGCTGATGACATGCCTGACTGGAATTGGCAATCTAATACAATCTAATCTAATATAACAATATAATATCATTATAATCAGTAACATACAATACATTTTATAAATAAATATAATGCATAATAATAATATTTTAATATAATATATAATAGTAATAATTAGGGGTGTGACGAGACACTTATCCCACGAGACGAGACACGAGACTGGGTTCACAAGAACGAGACGAGATTTTTAGACTTTTTTAAAAGAAATCCTCAATGTTGAAATATATAGGGAAAAATAGTCTTTTATTCAACTGAAAAACACAAAATGCAAAAAAGTAAGTGCTGAAATCAACTTGTACTTTATGAAATGATACATATATTTTAATAAATTTTATCCAGTAATAAACAGCATGTAAACACTGCAAAATGTTTTGCCACAAACTCAACTGACAGGCAAGTAATTGCACAAAAATTATAAATAGTATAGATAAAAATAAATAATACACAACATAAATATCCCTTTAAAGTGGAAGTGAAGCAGTCAGTCAAGTTTACATTATTTAGTAAACTGATTTCCACTTTAATAAAAAAATATATAATAAACACGATTAATGTATCCATTTAAAAGAATAAAGCAGTTGTTCCCAAACTGGGGGGCACGGCAAAGCTGAGGGATAGTTAGGGCCCTGTGAAATCCATTTTATTTTTTCCTAAATTCCGTTTAATTTTTTTTCCAAATTCCATTTTTTTCGTTTAAATTTTTCTGGATTCCGTTTTTTTTATTTTTTATTTTTTTTATTTCTCGACTCCTTTTTAATAGTTAAATTAAATGTTATTAATTAAAAAGCATGTCTAATTAATTAAAATCATGTAACTTATACATTTTCACATCAATTTATTAAAAGTTTAACAAACATTCCGTGTTTAGGGCCCTATGAAATGTTTTATTTTTTCCCACCATATTATTTATATTTTTTATTGTTACCAAATTCTGTGTTTTAGCAAGTCTAATTATTTGAATGCATAAAACAACTTAATTTATTCTTTTTTTTTTGAACAATTTATTCATTTTTTCCCCTCAGAAATTCTGTGTTGTGTATTTAAATTTTTCTGGTTATCAAATGAAGGCATAAAACATTAATTTAATTTATCATTTATCTTTTAATTATTGAAAATTAAGCAAACAATTTTTTTTTTTAGCAAACAAAGGGGATTTACTATTAAAATTAAAACATGGAAGACATGTTTTGTGTGATTATTTAAAAAAATAATTGTTTCATTTTAGTAGTAGTAGTAGTATGCTATGTACATTCTACTGAAAAATAGTTATAGGCACAATGTCTTCAAATCAAACCGGACTTTTATTTTGACGGGTTGCCGTGAATACCTTTACAGTTCTGTGTATGAGATATGACGCTAGTTTTACTCAAATCAAACGCTAAAATGCTCATGAAGTGACTCTCAGAGCAGTTCTGGAGATGTTGTTCATGTGTTTACGTCCTCATTTAGTGCGACGGCAGATGCTGAAATCACCGCGAGTGTCACGCGCGCTTCAGTGTGTGTGTAGTAAATGAAACCGCGCGTGTGCGCCATTCATTAACAGAGACAGGCAGAACATGCAGGATTCATATTTAAATCGACTTTTGCGGCTTAATATTTACAGATACTAGTCCATATCGTGATTTGATTTAAGTGTAATGACCTACTTTTGATTAATTCATTCAAAATTTGACAAATTCCGTGACATTAAGCGTTAAACTGAATTCTGTTTTTATGACTGGATAAAGACTACACTGCGTAATTTTCCCGCTAT